TTGAAGGGCTTTATTTGCCCATGGGCTAAGGGGCAGAGACCCACATCGCGTTATATTCATAGCCGATCAAGCTAAATTAGTAGCATCTGGCGAAAAATCGAGGCGACACCTGAAACCGATGCCCCATACGGAGTAAAGTGTCGTGCTGCCCCTTACTTTGTAGGGCCAAGCATGCACCGCCTCTGTGGCTGAGGGAAAGAGGCTGACTGCCAGGTCATCATGTCTGCGCAACTTGCATCAGTTCCACGGCCATGGTCCTATGGGGGTTTCACACATACACATGAGCAGCGCTTGTTGTCGTTTCGGGTGGCGATTCACTGCATCATTCCCATTACAGCCTGCCTCACTTTGGACTTATAGAATAATCATCATTTTTCTTTTTTTTGGTCTGGTTTACTCGGGTTGATCCAATGCTAGCGACTTGACTGTATTCCTCCCCTGCCTGTCCACATACTGTTCCAAACCTGAGCCAGATAACGTTAATATCTACCCAACGTAGTCGAAACTCACTCCCCGACATTTGACCCAGAACGTGCGTATCAACTGACTAGTTGGCGCTCTGGCACCCCTTGCCGCTAGCAGTGACGCAAGGAAGCGTTGCCTGTCCTCGGGCGACGTAGACGCGCCTTGATGTTGATTGGAAGCGTCATTGCTACCTAGATCAGCCAGCGCTGCAGCGAGGTGGGGGCGCGCAGCCCCTTGCTGTTTGAAGATGAGCTTTCGAAGCACCTCACAGAGATGCTCGAGGTCCGACCGCGCGCATCGCCCGGCCACCTGAGTGATCAGGATACGACAAAGGGCTGGAAGACACTGCATGATGGCAGTTTGAATAGACCCACCGTCGTTTGGAAGCGTTAGCACATTCACCCAGAACTGCGAGGCAGAGCGGAGCGGAAGTGGTTCAGGCCCTCGCAATGAGAGGAGAGTAAAATTCAAGACAGCTTCAAGGACTGACGGCCGTTGAAGCTCACCCCCATTGGAAGAAGGAATTTGGCTGGCTTCTTGGGGCGGCGTCGTGAGTGCAAATAGGAAAGGGTGATATTTGGGGAGTAAGCGTGTGAGGAAGTCGATCCCACTGTTGGCGACTTCGGGGTCATAGTACTCAGGTTTCTCATGCATCCAACAGAAAGTGTCATACACGTGCACGATCAGCGCAACCGTTTCGTCACGGATTCGCTGACAGTGTGAGCTATGAGATGCAAGGAAAGATGAAGCTGTACCCATCACGATGTCGGTACCAACACTGCCTAGAGGTATGCTCTTGACAAAGTTGACAGTCACCATTGGTGGGAAGACATATGGTCCCGTACTTTCGATATAACCAGCCTTCAAAATGTCGCATGCGGCTTCAATTATGGTCACATCGACAGGGAAATCGGTGATGAGCAGCTGCATGCATTGCATGATCAGGTTCTGAGACACGGCGCCACTGCCCGTATTCCAGAATGTCGGAGGGTAGGGGTCACCATCTCCATGGTCGTTCGACTCCAAATTCACCTCACCATCGGTTCTCAAACCCTTGCCAATACTTGCGACGCAGCGCAGCACAAACTGGCCACGGGTCTGAGCCTGCTCCACTAAGCCACCAACCGCCTCATCACGGGCCGCCTCTGCCTGCCCGTGGAAGAACCGGAGAATTCGTTCAATGACTTGTGACTTTGCTTCGTCCGTAGGCAAAGTCTGGATGATGGCGGCGATTCCTTCTAACACCTTTTCCATGGTATGAGTAGTGGCCGTGGGTTTGAAGCGGAAATGTTCGAATTGGTCAATGAAGGCTGGCAGTTCTGAGGTTAGCGCGTTGCGGCATGATTTACAAAGATATGCAATCGACTTGGATGCTGTTGGCGCACACGAGCTAACATCGAGAGACGCGAACAGAAAGGTAAGGACGCGAGGTAGCAAGGCATGTGTGCGTTCAAAGTACGACTGATACTTTCCCAGCATGTCCACCAAGGTCTGACGTGGTTTGTCTGGGATTAGCACTCCATTTCCTTCGCACAGGCGAGCGAATTCGTCACAGAAGAAGATCGAATTGAGACACTCGTCAGCGTGTTGGTTTTCATCGACAGCCTCCGAAAGCTGAGCGATGCAGAAAATCGCAGCCTCAAACGTGCGCCATTCCTGCTGTATCAGTGATATTCTTGCTCGTTCTTGGAAGACCCGGACAAGCTCCACTCCCAACATTGGGTAAATGGCTAGGAGGAAGTCGCACACATCACGCCGAAACGAACCAAACTCGCTACGGTCATCATCACCCCAACCTTGCAGCTCTTCTGGGCTAGGAAACTTTAGTTTTTCAAAGCAGTCCAAAGCCGCTTCGGCCAGATTCCTTTTAGCAGGCTCAAGACTCGTTTGATCTTCCGAGTCCGAATATATATCCTGGAGGTCGTCGGCGACTTCTGTCCACCACTCAAGAACAAGCGGCGAGGCCGGATCGTCCACCGCTGCATAGCCAGGAGCCTTGAACAGCGTGTGTAGAAGAGTGAGCATTTTAGCATGCTGTGGGTCTAATTGTTTGGTCATGAGGTCTCTCTGCTTCAACGTTGCATAAGCCAATAGGAGATCCAAGAACGTCATATTCTCGTCCTCAAAATCCGCCTCAATAAGTGACGCGACGTGCGCAGCCCCAAAATCACTGACAACATACTCCATAATAGCAGTAAGATGATCCTGGGTAAAGATACTGTCACGCCAGTCTACCAGCTCGACCACAACCTGTGTTGCAGATTTTGCAAGTCCAGGTATTTTCATGCTCTGAATGATGTAAGCCGTCGTAGAGGCCAGGTCCAAGACAGACAACGAATCACGCAACTGGATTGCGCTCCGTACATTCATCCACGCCTGATATCGGGTCAGATACAAGGTGCAACTGAGAATCTAATAAAGTTCGAGAAACGAAACCTACTTGATATGAGTTGATAGCTTCCGTGCCCAGGGCCTCATCTGATACCGGAATCCCAGAGGCGTGCTGCTGCATAATATGAGAAAGAACATAGTCAACGACAGCAAATGCGTCCTTGACATTTACGTATGTATGGTGTTCCTCTCTGCTTCGTCGTGGTTCTGAACTCCATCGGTGAATCTCCTCGGCGAGGATATTGGAGAAGTAGAGCAATGAGGTTACATGCCGCTCGGACATAGCAGGGAGCACCGCACCCTGCAAATCAATGGACTTGCAGTGCTCTTCTGAGACATGCTTCCCGTTTGCAAGTGATGCTGCCAGGTTACAGAGTGCTCTGGACCAGGGAGCGTTGGGCTTCAGGAATATGGTTGCGAGGCTTGAAGCCAACTTCCGTATGACCAAGGGCCGCTCGCCCCCATTAACGAGAAAGACATAATGATCTATCAGTCGCCCTAGAAGTTCCTGAGCCTCCTCAGGACTTAGACTTTGCCTGGATGAATCGTCTGTTAGCCACGGTCACTGGTGGAAATTGGGGCTCGTACGGAACGAACCAATCATGATTAATCTTGACCGTGAACGTCAAAGCACCAAAGAACCTTAAGTCTGTGCTGGCCTCACTGAGAAGCTGATTGGCAATTAGCCATGCTTGGGGACTTTTTTGAAGACTCTGCAGGTGCTCTTGGATGGCTTTGATCTTGGCGGGGTTCCCAGTATTCCCCGGATCATAAAGTTGGGACACGAGCTAGAAATAACTGTCTTAGTGATCATTCGATTCATATGGAGACATCAAGCAGCGAACATACCGATTTGGCCTCATTGATGAGGAGTTGCGCGTCTATGGCTTGGCCTGGGATGTCCACAGACATGGCCGAAACAATGAGGGCCTTGTTTAGGCTGGGGGAACTGTCACTGGCACAATATAGATTGGTGAGAGATGGTGAAAGGGGAGTCACGTGTTGATAATGCTATCACGAAAGTAGCAGGCGGTAAGCAGAAGAGGAAGGTGGGGGTGGGTGTGAGACAGCAACAAGAGAAAGGAATACCAGAGCTATAGTGGGCTGGTGTGAATAATAATGAGATCCAAGGTAATGGGGCAACAGTTTGGTTCACACTGATGAATTGGGTTAGTACCAATTAGTGTAGTCATTCACTTAGATAACTAGTTATCAACTGTGGTGTGGTGTCATAGCTTCACCACTAGATTCGGCTGATCATACAGCGACTGAAAAATAGAAAAATATAAAATTACCGCAACAGACAAAGCTGCTCAGTTTTAGACGAGTAAGGTCAGCAACAGACCGAGCGACATGTAGGGATAGTCATCTCGAGTGGACTAGTTATGACTGACTCTTTGATATTTCAACTATTCCCTACCAGGTTTCCAGGTGTGTTGAGGCCTAATAACCCAGCTAGCTAGCTCGACCTATCACCGGGACCTATCTACCCGACCGGAATGGATGGCGAGATTAATGACGGTAATGAATGGTAACTTCCGTCTCCTTACCAGCCGTGGCAATTATTATTATTACTTGCTACTACGGTGCCAGTAGTGATTGTTGCCAGTAGTAACTCCGTCCCACCGCCCACCAAACCCGGAGCTCCAACGGACAGCTCTTGGGAAATACCCACTTCCGCGTTTCTCCCACGTCTCAATGCTCGGCTACTGCTGCTGCTAGTCTACTTTGTACTGCTATTGTGCTTATCGTTCTTCTAAGTCGTCGCTTTCTCCACGTCAAATCTTTTCCAGCTTCAATTTTACCTGCGCACACGACCTCCCTGTTGGAAATTCCAGCTATAACTAGCTTGGTGCCCCTCCCCACCTTTCCTCCGCCTTCCCCCCCCCTCCCTCCGTCCCCCTCTACCTTGGCCCTTGCTTGCTCCGTGCAACCTTGAGAGCTGTGTTCTTGGGAGTCTTTGGATCCAAGGCCACCTTCTGCTCGGAAACCTGCAGCTTCTTCTTGCACATCCTTGCCAGTCGATGATCTTTTCTCACCCTCCAATCCGCCTTGCTTGGACTTCAGCTTTCCAATCGGCTCGCAAGTTACCCCTACCCCGTTCAAGGCTCTTCTCCAGCTCCGCCCCGCGCTTCATCATCGATATGGAGACTGTGGACACGTCAGAACGCCTGGCCAGGTTAAGGCAGTTGATGCAGGAGCGTAAGGTGGACGTTTACAGTATGGCATCAATGAACCCTGTTCACTGTCCTTCTCGTTGGAAATCATATACTCACTGAAGCCAAAGTCGTTCCTTCGGAAGACAGTCATCAGTCCGAATACATTGCTCCATGTGACGGCCGCCGAGGTTAGAATCCCGCCTTCCGCAGTTTCCTAATTCGGATATCATTCGCATTTGCGCCTTGTCTCCCTCGCCATGTAACTTACGCTTTGCTTTCTTCCGATAGAATTCATCTCGGGTTTCTCCGGATCGGCAGGAACTGCTATTGTTTCCATGACCAAGGCGGCACTATCGACAGATGGCCGCTACTTCAACCAGGCTTCGAAGCAGCTGGACAGCAATTGGGCGCTTCTGAAGCGAGGCGTTGAGGGATTCCCGACATGGCAGGAATGGTATTGGAAACCAACCATCAGACACATAGGATCGCAAACTGAATTGGGTATAGGACTACAGAACAAGCCGAGGGAGGAAAGGTCGTTGGAGTCGATCCAGCTCTGGTTACACCTGGTAAGCAACGTCACGGACCTTATGGCGAAAATCGATCCAAACGCTAAGATCTTGTAGCGGGCGCCCGTAGTCTCTCGGAAACCCTCAAGAAGAATGGCTCATCACTCGTGGGCGTCGAACAGAACCTGGTTGACTTGGTTTGGGGTAAAGACCGACCGGCCCCTCCAAGGGAAGCGGTGAGAGTGCACCCTGCGCAGTATGCGGGCAAGAGCTTCCAGGAGAAAATTGGCGACCTGCGCAAGGAGTTGGAAAACAAGAAAGCGGCTGGGATTGTTATCTGTATGCTATGTTGCTTTCCAAACCTGCATTGTGTTGCTGCTAACGAATACAATAGCGATGCTTGATGAGATCGCGTGGCTGTTCAACCTGAGAGGCACCGAGTAAGTGTTTAGCTCTAGAGTTCGCCCTTTGGTTCGTGCTAATGGTTTTCAGTATTCCATACAACCCAGTGTTCTTTTCATACGCCCTTATAACCCCTACTACCGTCGATCTCTACGTTGACGAGGACAAGTTAACACCGGAAGTGAAAGCTCATCTAGGCCAGGATGTCGTCATCAAGCCGTATGACTCTATCTTCGCAGATGCCAAAGCGCTTAGCGAGGCGCGAAAGCAAGATGCGACGGGAGCGGCCCCCAAGTTCCTGCTGTCAAACAAGGCTTCTTGGGCTCTCAGCCTTAGCCTGGGAGGTGAAGAGCAGGTTGAGGAGGTCCGTAGCCCTATTGCCGATGCCAAAGCCGTTAAGAATGATGTGGAACTCGCGGGAATGCGCGCTTGCCACGTTCGTGATGGTGCGGCCTTGATCGAATATTTCGCTTGGCTCGAGAACGAGTTGATCAACAAGAAAACTACCTTGGATGAAGTTGATGCGGCAGACAAACTGGAACAGATCAGGTCCAAGCATGATCTGTATGCTGGCTTGTCCTTCGATACTATCTCCTCCACAGGCCCGAATGGAGCAGTGATCCATTATAAGCCAGAGAAAGGAAGTTGTTCCATTATCGACCCAACAGCCATTTACCTTTGCGATTCCGGTGCCCAGTATCTGGATGGCACCACTGATGTCACCCGGACGTTCCATTTCGGAAAACCCACCGAACTGGAAAAGAAAGCTTTCACGCTGGTGCTCAAAGGTCTCATTTCTATCGACACTGCTGTCTTCCCCAAGGGTACTAGTGGATTTGCGCTTGATGCTCTCGCTAGACAATTCCTGTGGAAGGAAGGCCTCGACTACCTCCACGGAACAGGCCACGGTATCGGCTCTTATCTGGTCAGCACTACAAAACAGAGCTCCCCGCTTATGCCTGTCACCATTTAGCTAACAGTATCGACAGAATGTGCACGAGGGACCCATGGGTATCGGCACTCGTGTCCAGTATACTGAGGTTCCCATTGCCGCGGGCAACGTTATTTCTGACGGTAAGGATAGTTGGGATACAGATACAAGGCCGCTTGCTAACAGCACCAGAACCCGGATTCTATGAGGACGGAAAATTCGGCATCCGTATTGAGAGTACGTTTCTCATTTCTCCAAAGCAAACCCCCACCTCATTCGCGACTGTCCTACAATGATTGGCTTTGACTAATGCTATACTCAGATGTTATCATGGCGCGTGAAGTGCAAACGACTCATAAGTTCGGTGAAAAACCATGGCTGGGATTCGAGCACGTCACCATGGCTCCACTGGGCCGCAATTTGATTAACGCATCCCTTCTCAGTGAGCATGAGATCAAATGGGTCAATGACTATCATGCAGAGGTGTGGGAGAAGACTCACCGCTTCTTCGAAAACGACGACTACACACGCAGTTGGCTCCAGCGCGAGACCCAGCCTATATCCAAATAGACTGGTTCGACAGACCGTGAGAAACAGCGACCAGCACGAAGATTGAAGGGCGTCTTATGCTGTTGGTAATACATATGCTCTCGTCTCTCTTCCGCTACTAGGCTTGATAGATGCGTTGGAGAACAAGCATACATAATCATGTATCTAAACCGTTGGGCAAGCCCGTTTTGTCTTAGAAATTACCAAGTCCAAAGAAAACCTCATGAGGGCAAGTATTAAGGCTTCGTGGCATGGAGCCCATGTGATGATCGCCTGCAGCATTCTTGATTATTCGTTGCCTAATGCCTTGTAAACTCCGACTGGCATTCTATGAGAGAAGGATGACTTTTCGTATAAATACCGACTGGATCTCTTCCCAGCCAACTATGCAAAGTCCCAGGAGAGAACACGTTCACTTTATCGAGATAAGATGAATGCTTACCTGAGTCCCATAAAGGTGGGTCACAAACCTCCATGATGTCGAGGGACATTAGCGCCCGCTAACAAGCCAATCACTGTAAGTGGCTGTACTGCTGCCATGCGAGGTAGATACATCCAGCACGTACATAGATACTTGGGCATTAGCTACCTGAATTGCTCTCCATAAGAGAAAAGATTTTGTGATACCCAGAAGTTAAGAAGAAGAAGATGAAGTACGGTATGGATTAACAAGAACATATGGCTCGGATGGACTGTAGTAACCATGACCAGGCGGATGCGCGTTGAGAGGACTTTGGGTAACACGTGCTCAATTGTATGACGTGCATTAGGCAAAGTATACATGCTTCCCTTTGCTTCAAAATCATTACCTACATACTTATGAGACAAAACGAATATAGAAAGATTCATTGTTTCTGTAATCTTGTCAGGCTTGCTTAGTGCGGAGTATACCATAGAACAAGCAAGGCGGTAAAGGTTAAGACCGCCAACCCCAAACTGCCGCTCCTATCTACAAGCTGACACCTTCTCCGCATAGCATCCCCGACCTAACGTTCATTTTATTGTTTCCCCCCTCCGCAGTTGGAACTGGCGTCGTTTCCTCTCTAAAGTTGAATTCAACCCAGGCGATCATGCTAGTATTGTTTCTAGCTTGAATCATTGCGGCAACAACATTACATGATTATAACTTCACCTAGGGTTTCAAAACAGCCCGTTACCTTCGCTTCACCAGCAAAGCCCCAACTCTCAGTTATCAGCTTCCCCACGAATTAGCCTCCGACGAAGACAATTCTCTGGTATGAGTGGCAGTAATCCTTACGCAAACGGATACGGATATTCCGATACCAGCCGCTATGACCGCGGTGATGGTGGATACGGCGGAAGCAGTAGCAGCCTTGGGATGAACGGTTACGGAGGAGGCAGTGCGGAGAGAGAGCGTCGCCCAGGTGGGTACGGTGGCTTCTATCCAGAGCCTTCATCATCTTCCTTGTCACCGGGACAGTCACCCGAACGACGACGGGAAAGACGGGAAAGAGATGGTGATCACTCATCGTCGCGATCGCGCACAAGGGACGGAGAGGCTGATAGGAGGGCACTCGGTTCTCGAGATGGTCGCCCTCGCGGAGATAATAGCTGGTTAGGAAATAATAGCAGCGGCGAGAATGTACCCGGTCATGCGGCAGGTCCCCAGGCCATCGAAGGTTCGGATTGTACCTCTTCTTCCTCTTACTTTTTGCCAGGGGAGGTTTGATTGAGCAGAAGCATGCTAACACTACTGGCTCCCGTCACAGACGTACTGCAAATGGTTCAAAGAGAATGGGACTTTGTGGCCTCCGAAAACTGTGTGCCTGTGCAAGTCGCTTTGCAGCTGATGGATACCAGTACCTTGGGAAAAGCCGATCGCGAGCCGGATTTTATAAGAATCAATGATAAAATCCAGAGGACATTGAAGTCCGTTGTCAATGGTAAGCCACCAAACCCCTCAACTGCCTTCACACGATGCTGAATTACCCAGAACATCACCAGGGCTTCAATAGTTCCATTGGTACTTATCATAAGATCCAGTCAAGCATACAGAGCTCACAAAGCCGAGTCCGCACATTGAAGATCTCGCTGGAAGAGGCAAAATCCGGATTGTTGTCGACTAAGCCCGAATTAAAGGGGTTAGCTACGTCGTCACAGAAATATGACGACATTATTCAATTATTCAGCCAGATACAAGAGATTCAATCTCTGCCCGAAAGGCTAGAGTCGCGAATATCGGACAAACGATTCCTTGCGGCTGTGGAGGTATTGCATAACGCTTTGCGGCTGTTGCGGCGCTCTGAACTCGAGAATATTGGAGCTCTCGCAGATATTCGCGCCTACTTTGGAAACCAAGAAGCATCTCTTACAGACATTCTGATAGAGGAGCTGCACGATCACCTCTACCTCAAATCTCCCTACTGTTCAGGCCGCTGGAAACCACCAGCTGCTGATGGTGAAGGAAATGGAGCCCACCCATCCAGCTGGACCGGAACAAGCTCATGGGAGAGACCTGTTTATGCATTTCTTGGGAAGTTGGACGCATCCACGCCTATGGTCGAAGACGCTTCGCGAAACCCGGAGGCCGATACATTCTACTACATACAATTGCTGATCGAAGCGCTGAACAAGATGGGCCATTTGGACATCGCAGTTGATAGGATAGAGCAACGCCTGCCTGTTGAACTGTTTGCCGTTGTTGATAAAACCAACGCCGAGATTGATGCAAGGTATCCAAACAACACCCGCGGCTTTGCCTCACAAGACAGCAAGTCAAGTTTGCCGACAGATATAATCGAAAAACGTGGTCACGTGCTATCGGAGTTTCTTTGGACCTTGTATGCTAAATTTGAGGCTATTGCTGAAGGTCATCGTGTTGTTCATGATGTTATTGCGGCTATAGTGGAACGCGAGGGTATACCAAAGGGAAGTGCGCTCGCGGGTGGGTTCAAGGAACTTTGGAAGCTTTATCAAAGTGAGGTGCGTGAATGGACTCTGCTGTGGGCTTTTTCGTCTGTCTTTCTAACACTAAATAATCAAGATCCGGTCCCTCATGCATGACTACCTGGCAACGGATGGAGAATCATCATTCCGGCCCCGGCACGAAGAGGCTGAAGCGAAACGACAACTCTATACAGGGCAGAGAGATAAGAACAAGGTGCGTGCGATGACGAAGACGTGCCTATTTATTTGCTCACTAGCCACAGAAAATGTTCAAATTGTCCGAAACGGACCATACTTCCGAAATACAAGCCGAGCAAAATGAGTTGGACGAGATTCTCAGGTCTTCGGTTCCTGGCTTGGTCACCAAATCAAGCCAGAAAGCCGCCGTCATCGATGCATCCGACACCAGACAAGGAAACTCGGGAACTGGGCATAAGATCCTCATAGAGCCAAGCGTCTTCAACATGAGCCTCCTTCTTCCTCCTTCGCTATCATTTATTCAGCGACTGAAGGAGATTGTACCCGTGGATTCCGACATTGCCATGAGTACATTGACTTCTTTCCTAGATGACTTCTTGGTCAACGTGTTCCTCCCTCAGCTAGACGAAACTGTGACGGACCTCTGCACTCTTAGCTTTATCTCGCCGGATGCTTTCACGGAGGACCCTCACTGGTCTGGGGTCTCTCCCCGGCCGGTTTTCAGGGTAATTGAAATCCTAAGCAACTCTTTACATATTGCTAACAGCTGGTCGCGCAGGGTACGGTCAAATTTATGATGATTATTCGAGAATTCAGTAAAATGCTATCCAGCATCCCACATGATCAAGCTTTCACACAGCTACTCCTTTCGCAAATTGTGACTTACTACGACAAGTGTTGTGGATGGTACAAAGGTGAGACATCCGTGGCCAGCATCCTTGTTTCATTCTTCTAATTTGCAACGTTCAGCGATCGTGACCAAAACATCTCCCCGAGACAATGGAGAAGTCCGACTCAAGGCTGCCGCGCGTCATGCGGAATCAGGCGACGTTCATGACATTATCACGGAATTATGGAACGGATTGACCGAGAACAAGCGGGAGCTCGTAGACAAGGTAGCTAACAAAGTCCCCCTGCCATTCCATCCTATCAAAGGCCTATGGTAAGCCTTTTTCTTGGAAAGCTCGAGTTGACATCATCAGGAAACCGACATCCTTATCAATTCGACGAATGAGGTTCCATTGGAGCCATACGACATCATATCTGACCCCAAGACAGTCGTATCCTTGTCGCTTCTTTTCAACAGCATGGTTAGTTGAGACGATCCAAGTCCAGCGTTTTTCAATCACAAAAGCTAATTAGTACAGCAATGGTTCGCAAGCCATCTTGCTCAGTTACGTCAAATCACACAACCAGCCTCCGACTCGCGACAGGCTGAGTCCCGACCAGCCAATCGCCGCTGGACTCTGATTGGTGCCATGAAACCGAAGTGCGAGGACATCAATCAACCAGTTTATCTTCCTTTGAACCAAGAGACAGCGACTGTGTTTGATACTACTCTTCAGTCTCTCCGCGATCTTGCATGCACTGCTCTCTTCGCCCTGCATGTCGACATCCGTTGCGGCATCATCCATATGCTGAAGCGGACAATGGAAGGGCCCAAGCCCCGGAACATACGAAGCTCGGAACCCGCTACGCCTTCCCCAAGCTCGCTCGCCAATTGGTGGCACATTCTCTCAAACCAACCAACTGCTGCGTCTCCTACAGTGCTTGAGCTGAACAATGACTTGATCGCGTTTGACACCAACATCTCGTCTTACCTAGGACCACCTGAGCGATGGTTCATCACGTCTGGGCTTGCTCGATTCATCGACCGTACTTTCGTCGCGAATACCTGTCATATTGGGGCTATGAACGAAAATGGCGCGCTCCGACTGCAGCTAGACGTGCTAGTGCTGCAACAGAATCTGAAGAACATCATCATAGACCCAACAGATGATGGACGGAAAGATGACAGTCCTAACTCACAGCAGAACAGTGAGCACACCGAGGTAGTTGCTTTGCCTCGTAGCGCTAAATTCCTCGATTGGTTCCTGGAAGGTGCGGAGAAAGCCTTAGACTACGCAAAGGATGAGAAGGAATCGTTCGCAACCCACGGAGACCAAGCGCTGGCCGCTGGTAATGGCGAACCGTTCACGTACGACGAACTCAAGGTCCTCATTGACCTTTGCTTCTCAGACATTCTACTAGGCCCCCGAGGTGCAGAGAATCGGGAGGAGTTCATGGCAGCAAAGAAAGCCAGCGCCGATGCGCTCTTGAGGTTAAACGAGGTGATGTGGGATTCCAAGTGACGGATAGATTATATGCGGCTTCAAACCAGGACTGTGCTGGAGACACAGCCCGCAATGGAGGCCATGCCTGGACGCTTGTGGTCATCCGATTGAAGACCGTACCTGATTAGAAAGCTAGACAACACTCTCAACAGTACCAACGGAGATTAAGATATTATTGATAAAGATTGTTATTGAGACTTTTTGGTGAACGAACTCCCGGCTCCAGAGACCCGACCCACTGCGGGATGCCGCGGAGCGGATGGATCCCCCGTTCATTGCTAGCCCTCCGTTGGTTGACGGTTCTGTTTGCCGCCATCAGCCCATATTTTCCACTCCCTTTGTTTACCCTGGACTAAACCTGGCTAGCCAAAGGTGAGTCCGGCTTGAACACCCCTGGAGCTCTCGGTCAGGCTATTGGCGGCTTGGTGCAGGGGAGACAATCGCCCCCGACTGCTTACTAGCCGGGTAATTTTCTCTGGCCGTTAGGTGATTTCCGAGCAGTGGGTCGGGCCCGTGTAGTTTAATTACTCAATATCAGAAGCCATTGATGTTGGCCAACATCTAAGACGTGCGGAGCAAAGGGAAGACCCAGCGGCGGCGCTTCTCCATCAGTTCTGCTCCAATTCCCTGGTCTTTCAATGTGGTGATCCACGCCCGGCGTTTCACATTGCGATCTCATTTCGCGGTGCGCGAACGAAATCGCTGCTGCCTTCCCTCGGGCTTATGTGTCATTAAAGTTAAGGCGCTAATCAGGGAAAATCTTTACGACTGTTCATTTCCTTAGATTGATGGTTGCTGATGGATCACACTATCTGGCTCTGGGGCCAGACGCCCCCGAACGCTCGTTCTCCTTCCCTCGCCTCTTATTATTCTGCGAAGTTCCTTCTTTTCTCAGCTTCTTCTCTCTTTGTCGCTCCTTTGCCATTCTGTCTGGAACAGCAGATTCTACAGCCTGGGATTTGAAATCCTGTCCATTCATTCTTACTGACCATTATTGTGTTGACTACACGTCCTGTCTTTACTGTGATTCCACGCCATCTCTTGGCCGGCAAAGAGAGAAAGACATCCATTCTTTATTTCATTTCTTGGCACCTTGTCTGAGACACTTTTCTCCATCTTCCAAACATGAAGTATCAACGCCTCGCCTCTTTGGGCTTTACTGCCCTGAGTGCCGTTGCGACGGTCTCTGCCAACCCACTGCTGAACCGTGAAGCTGAGGGTCAATGCCCCCAAGGCTACACCCAGAGCGTCTACTACAAGACTATCACTCTCCAGCCCTCCTCTACTGCGCCAACGGCGCCAACCTCTACGCTCGCCAGTGTGGGTGAAGGCCAATGTCCCGTTGGCTACACTCAGAGCGTCTACTACAAGACGATTACTCTCCAGCCCACTTCAACTGCATCCGTCGAGCCAACCTCTGCTCCCGCTGTTGAGTCAACCTCCGCTCCCGCTGTTCAGTCAACCTCGTCCCCTGCTGTCGAGTCAAGCTCTACTTCGGTTGATCAGGTTACTACTCTGCACTCGTCTTCAACCGTCATCGTGACCGAGGTCGTGACTGCAACCCCTGCGGTCGCCACCACGAGCTCCGCGGTCGAGAGCGTTGCACCAGTTGCCACCACCTCCGTTGCCGAAGCTTCCCCTGCTGCTGAGACTAGCGCTGCTGTGGAGGCTACCTCTTCCTCTTCCTCGGTCGTTGAGGTGACGACCAATGCTGCCGTTAATGCCGCCGCAACTACTGCTGCCGCTGAGCCTACCTCTGAGGCTGTTACCCCTGAGGTTATAACTACTGAAGCTGTCGCGACCACTGAAGCTGCTGCCCAGCCTACCCCTGAAGCCGCTACCACCGAGGCTGCCACTAGCCAGGCTGCTGCTGCTGCCGCTACCACCGAAGCTGCTACTACTCAGGCTGCTGCTACCACCGAAGCTGTTGTTCAGTCTACCTCTGAGGCTGCTACCACTGAGGCTGCCACTACCGAAGCTGCTGCTACCCAGGCCGCTGCCACTACCGTCGAATCCAAGTCTACTTCTTCTAGCTCAACCGCTGCTAGCGCTGCGACATCGTCTGCCTCCAGCTCTAGCTCTTCCACCTCTAGCAGTGCCCTGAGTTCCGAGTACTCGGGTGAGGCAACTTTCTACGGCGGTAACGTCTCGGGTGGAACCTGCTCGTTCACCGACTACACTATCCCCTCTGGCCTCTTCGGCACAGCACTCTCCTCCCAACGCTGGGACAACGCAGCGGAATGTGGTTCTTGTGTCGAGGTCACTGGCCCTAGCGGTACCAAGATTAAGGCCATGGTAAGTCTCATCTCCTAAGCACTGCTTCCCTACGTCTTTTCGTTCCTGTCTCTAACAAACTCCAAGGTTGTCGATGAATGTCCCGAATGCGATTCCAACCACCTCGATCTCTTCGAGAGCGCCTTCTCCGAGCTGGCCGACATCTCCAAGGGCGTTATCAGCATCGACTGGGAATATGTTGCCTGTGGTATCACCTCCCCGATCGAACTGGTCAACAAGAGCGGTACCTCCGCCTACTGGTTCGCCATGCAGGTCGTCAACTCCAACTTGCCCGTCACCAAGCTCGAGGTCAGCACCGACAGCGGTAGCACCTGGCAATCCACCACCCGTTCCTCCTACAACTACTTCGAGAACCAGAGCGGTTTCGGTACCGACACCGTCGATGTCCGTGTCACTGCCGAGGGTGGTTCTCAGATCACCGTCAAGAACGTCAGCGTCTCGTCTGGCTCGTCTGTCACTGCTTCCTCTAACTTTGAGTAAATTGGTGATCTGACCCGACTGACTGGGTGTTTGCGATGACGGGATATGATGTTGTACTCTTCTTAAAATTTTAATTCTCTAGAAGTGTGTGTGCCGGGTTTGGTCATGCTTCTGCTTACTTGGTGTATTAGCGCTTTGTTTGGGGGCTTCTTCTCACAAATTTAATATTCTTCCTGTATATACTTATTTCGAAAACCTCTTAGGTTACCACTATTACTACTTATGTCCAAGAATGACACCGTTTATGCCACATACCGCACCACACCGCACCACCTAGACATAACTTCCCCCTCTCTAGCCACGTCTACTTAACTATACTACACTATCATATAAACAAATCACACTATCATCTACGACCCTACTCAATACAACTCACTGCACAACATATCTCCAAACCACAAATCACACTAGTTACCCAGTCCCACTACTATATCATATCCCCTTTCTCGAACCCATACCCACATCTATCTACCATCACAAAATCGCCATTAAGTCCAGCCAAACCAAGGTCATCATCATCCCCTTCCTCTATCGAGCAGAAATACGTTGTAAACATCCAAGTAACAAGTAACCAATCAGCCAGCCAGCCCCCACCTCCAGCCTACTCTTTCAATTCGATCCACTACCAGCAAACCAAAATACAACACCACGAACAAAGAACAAAAGATCAGGAAAAAGAAAAGTGGTCCGCCAAACGTTATATTCATCACACATACACACAGGGTGTAATCACGTGATGGCATCATTTATCAGTGCAGGAGTCCAAATGGGACATGACATATCAATCAGCGACGTTTGCGAGGTAAACCATGACAGTTACTGAGATTGGTGATGTTGTGTGGGCGGATTGAGACTGCTAGGGTAATATTCTTACTACTTGTGTATGATGTATAAAAGTGGAGGCTCGGATATTATTATTAAGGTAGTAGTAGTTACTAGTAGCTAATGGTGGTGGTGGTGGTATCATCTATGTATTATTAGGTGAATCGAGCTGGTGATTGGTGATAACGCTGTGGGGAGGGGATGATGTTGTTGGTGTAAAGAATGGGAGCACGGGTTTGAAGATATTAATAAGTTGTGTATCTATGAGTGAACGAAATGGAAAGGGGGAAAGAGACACCAATACTGTAAGAGTCCTAGAGTGATCGGTTATGTATGTGCTGCATGTAATCTACTACTCTACTGGTTCCAGTGCAGGCAGGACAAACCACGCTTATGTTTGATTCCTCGTCCGATATCTGCTCTGTTCGCAAAATCATTACTAGAATCATACCGAGATCAGACTTGAAATGAGCTTGCATTCCGATAACACGCCGTGGTGTCCTAGGCTACATGGCCATCGGATCATCCACTCCCAGCCATAGTTTCGCCGTCCCATCCTTAAGAATAGCATACAGAAAAGAATCACAGCAGGGGTAAAAGCAGATACGGGGAAAATAGAAACAGGATACCCACCCCAGGCTAGGCAATTAAAATAAAGATTGGAGAACCACATCGTTCTCCCTCACAACAAAAACCGGACATCGTAAGACTGTACCTTGCAAATAACTGACATGGAAAATAAAAAGTGGAAACAGGGAGAAATCAGGCAAGGTCTGTTCAATGAAAGGGAAGAAGCTGTTAGGATAAAGTGTTAAAAGGGGAAAAGGAAGAGGAAAGCAAGCGACAAGATCGGTGCTGTCTCATGCCTCCCAAGGTAAACAAGTCGTAGCACATGTGAATATAAAGAAACGAGATAATGCAGTGATTCTCACACTACATTCTCTGTACGCACAGTAATGCACGTTAGTCGAGATTAAACCTGGCCTTGGTCAATGTCAAGGGGCTCCAGCTCCTTCGAGTCTTCGTAGTCTTCGAAATCAAGGCCTGCGTCGCGGCAGCGCTGCAACCACTTCAGCGCAATGTCACCGCGACGGTTGACTTCGATCTTCAGTTTGGAGTTCTGCGAGCTGATTTCGTTGATTGCATGGCTCGTGGTCATATTGTTTTGGTCCCAACGTTCACTCATGGCTTTCTTTTCTTCGTGTAGTTGGCATATATATTCGATTGCGCGTTGCAGAATGGCACCCTTGTTCTTGTCACAGTTGGGGACAAGGCGAGCGATCTGATTGATGCCCTCATTGATCGCCTCACGGCGTCGCCGCTCCACTAAGTCTTTATTAATGGATGCACTATGAAAAGTGGAGAGGGGGAAAGATTGCTGTACCTTCTTTGTGATTGTTTTTCCGAATCTGATGCCACTCAGGAGAACCTACAGAAGGCTTCTGATTCATGCTCTGTGCTTCGCGAGCAGCGTAGACGGCGGCAGCAGTAGAATTGTGACCATGTGCGGAGCCGATAGCCTGGCCCATATCGTCTCCAAACGTCAAGCCATGGGCGAGATTGTTGTCAAAGGTCGCATCAGGGGGAGGTGGGTATTTGTTCTGAGGGGTGTGGGCGGCGAGTGCCGCCTTAGCAGTGAGGGCGTTATCATCCGAGATACCGTTTTGGGGACCAACATGTTGCAGGATTTGCTGGTCGATGTTGAGTTCTGTCGTAGCACTTGGAAGATGCGTGTCATAGGATCCAAGAGAGCTATGGGCGAAGTTCGGCTGAGTATCTGGGGCGGGAATGCTGCCGTTGCTCCCATTGGAAGATCGATTCAGACGCTGGGCATCTGGACCGGTGCTATCGGTACTGTCGCGCTTTCGCTTGGCCGTAACACTACCATCGGTAGCACCCAACGACGGATCAGACATCGTTAGGTATGTATGATATGACTGCCCTGTGCGTAACGGTTAGTATCGTGGCGCGTCATTTAGGGAGCCAGCCACCACCTTCGAAGCGCACTTACCTGCTAACGATAGGGATTCAGTGAAGTTACCGGAGTTTCGCTCCAGCTCTAGGGGCCTAATCGGAGAGATTAGGCGATTCCCGTTAACTCTAGAAGTTCCGTTAGTAACCAAGTTGCTTTTGCACGATCAGTACGGTTCAAGATGGTGTAGGAAATGATCCGGTGGATGAACAAAGCAACACTATTGCAAGGGGGAAAAACGGTAGCATTCATTGAATTGCGGGTGGAGCCATTGGATAGTCCCAGTGAAGGGCTACAGTTGCTGGGGTGCACAGGTGAGCCAGATCTGAACGGGTTATGAGCTAGTAACGCGTTTGCTGACGCGCCCACCTCCGCATCCAAGCAAGCACCAACAAGCACTGAACACAAGATGAACGGCGCGACCACCAGCAGAGATACAACTACAAACGAGAGATGACACTGAAGTGAGGGCAGTAGCACGGGCACATGAGGAGATGAAGAGCAAGTCCCTGAGATGGGAGCGAGGTCGGCGACGCGTCGCGAAGACGTCTTTGCGACCGATGGAAGCGGGAAAAAACAGCATCATCATCCTCGGCCATCGCCCGACCGGGCCATGTCGGAGAAGGAGAGGACAAGGAGATTTGCCAAAGCAGAAGCCATAATGCTATGGCGATGCTGATGGCCGTGGAAGAACCGCGGAGCAGACAAGAGGCGACAGAGAGTAGAGGGGCACAGCGCGAGCGAAGGGGAGGAGAGGGAGAGCTGGATTGATTACCTTGGGATGGTCTATCTATCACCTGACAGCAAGTCACCTGCCACGGGCAACAACAAGAGGGAAGACACCGGTTCGATCGCAGAAGCTGGAGAACGAAATTTGTTCACGAAAGAAATGGTCGGGATCGAAGCATCCACATCAAAGACAGCGGACGGATCGGCTTTGAAAACAAGCAAAAAGTTGTGGCGGATTTTACAATGGAAAAAAGGGATACATGGAGGAGTAGAGAGAGAGTCGAGTAGAGAGGGACTGCTCACGTGGCGAGGGACGAAGGACGAGAATCAAAGAGAGGAGAACCGCCCGCTACGGTGACCCAAATGGACCCGAGGTGTAAAGTAAAAGAATAATGTGAGCAGTATGTAACGCCAGGCCGATCACCTGACCCCACCCTCCTCAAAAGTCAAAAGTCACGGAGTATTGATAGTAACTAACTAACTAACCAGTTGGTTAATGTTATACTCGCCGTGGTACTTGCTGCAATGTATATAGTAAGTAACTCAACTTCTACCTCCAAGAACAGGGCTACTGTAGTACCTTATCCAAAACAGACAATAAAAGAGAAGGGGAGGAGGGTTATTCTGAGAATCACTTACAGTAGAGTAGAAACCTACTAAACTTACTAGTAGTAAGTAAGCAAGTCTCTCTTGTTCAAGTGAGGCCAGCCCGGAATCATACCACCACCGATACCAACCATTTTCTGTAAACATCATTCTCATTGAGTTTATTTTTATTTTTTGCCCTGGCACATTATCGTCTTCCTATTTTCCCTTCACTCACCCCCCCACCCCTTCACCTCCGTTCCAACCGGTTTTCCTCTTCCCCATTCCCTCCTTCTCCATCACAAAATTGTCAGGTGCTGCCATCCCGTGCCCCCTCCTCACCCAACTCCTCAATCAACAATTCTGATTGGTCGGTAGGCCTCCTCTGTCCCGGTGGTCGGAGGAGGGGTTCACCCGGAATCACGTGGAACCCGGCAGCCCTCTTGGCTCGAAAGGGGAAAAGGGGACTGATTGGTGTCCTTTCTGACTTCTCTAGTGTCCTGCGATCGGTCTATTCAAGAACATACAGTAGCACTGATCGAATGGGAGGAATATCCTGTTATTCCTGCAGAAGTCCATTATTGGAGTGGAAACGTCGCTGCGCCGTGGAGGGTGCCTGCTCATCCCGGTCGGCCCGTCCCTTCCAAGTAGCAACCAGTTACTGGACAGTACTTAGTTACAACTAGTGACTATCTATGGAGTACTAATGAATTATTTCGAGTCGAGTCAGCACCAAAGTCTCAAAAGAGTCACTACGGTGGTGGCTTGTCTCTGATCCCCCCTCCCCTTAGCCGCCGATCTCTTTTGCAGTCTGAACTTTCTATGTATGTCGTCATGATCTGACTGTCCAGTCATCCACCTGCCTTTGCACCCCCTGTTTTCTGCGAACGGATCATAGATACTATCAGTGACTTCCAATCGTCAGTCTACAAAGTACTGGTGGTAGGGAGGCCCGCAATCCACCCTCCATTTGGCATGATCAAGCCACGATGGGCCTCCATGCCCTGCCCCATTGCGCAGCAACTCTGTTTTCTTTCGAACCAACCCGGGTCAATTCTCAATCTTTCCAAGGCTGTCCGCTAACTCCAACCGTCACATGTGTGCGCAATGCAACCTATCAGATCCCTCGTCGCGATCTCTACTAGCCTTCTCCTCACTAAGATGGCCGCGCATCCTCCGAAATATGCTACCTTTCCTTGCCTAGGGATGCGCGTCAAGGGTTGCATGCAGAGACGGGGGGGTACCCGACAGGAAGAGAAAAAAAGCCTCCTTCCAAGATTCAGCAGTTGACTTTGAGGAACTAGGAGTCCATCTGACGGGCGATGTCGCTGATCAGTTGGTCATGAGATAAGATGCTGGAGTGGATACTCTACCCTTAGGTACTTTAGCTTGCTGTAGCGATCATTGTCCGGAACCCTCTGATCATCCGGGGTTCTTGCCGCAATCGACCTTGTAGGATAGTATACATTTACTGTGTAGTAGGCGGGTATTCTCCGGAGAGCAGAAATGAGTCTAGATTCGCCTTGGTCGCTCCAATGCGAATAAACAGCCAAGTGACAATGACGAGTTGCCATCGCCTGTCACATGAATGATGGTCGAGTCTGACTGGGGCCAGAAGTGCCTCACATGATAGATCATGGCTCACTGTGGCAACTCGGGACTTTGGAACCTGCCCGTCTGTCGGTCGGTCGGTTGACGATATGCACTTCGCTCTCCGATAAGAAGCCCACTAGGTCAAAGGACAGGGTGGGGAGCCCAAAGCGCATGGAACAGAACAAGTGAGCGAGAGCCTGGTGCCCTGATAAGCTTCCTACACAGCAGGGGAAAGGGCGTATACACGACTTCCTATCGTGCCAGACAATAGATCCTTGGACATGCATTGCGACTCTTATTCGGTTTTTGTCCACGTCCAAAGCAACCCCAGTATACGATCTATGTGATTTACGAACGCCGACTCAAGTGACGCCATCTGAAATAGAATTGATAGGCAGGGCACCACTCCAGGCTGCAACCCACCAATGCCGAGGTGGCTTTAGCCTCATGTGCAGTTGGAATGTCATTTCAAAGCTTTGACCAATCCAAACACCATGCTGGGGTCTGCCGTAGTGTCGGCAAAACAAATACCTTCCGTCGTCGCACCCATCATATCCCAACACAGAATTTTTGTATCAAATGACGGTGCATCTGTCTCAGCGGCATCCGTATCGTCACCAGGGTCTCCTTCTTTAGAAGAAGTTTCCTTACCTGATGTACAGGATGGTGGTTTCTGTGTGACTGCTACGATAGCACTCGTGCCCGCGTATCGAGCTGGGTTCGTCCCTTCGGCACCCGGTTCTTCTCCGGCTCTATTGGCAAACACAATGATGATCTTCTTTCCGCGATTAGCATCATCGCCGTCGAAGTTGGTTGCATGGCCCATCTTTTTCCTGATAAGCGGCATAAACCGCTGGATCCAGTAGTTAAACGTGTCCAAGTCCGGCTCATCACCGAGCGAGTCGAGCTCGTCCCGCTCCAACAAGGTCAACCAGGCCATAGAAAGTATGACCAGCTCGGACTTCGTATCCAGGACCCGATTGGCAAACTCCCAGGCAGTAAAGGGAGCTTCGAATCGATATGGGTTGATGTCCATACAGATGCCGAAAGAGGTAGCTATCTGGGACTCCACCGAGCTTTGATTTGAGTTTCGGAAGGAGAGCTGGTGGAAGCCTTGCTGCGGGTCGCCCTCTGCCGCCCACGTCTCATCCGTGTAGTATAGGAACGATTTACGGTAGTTTAGGACGATGTCACCACTTTCGTCCACCACCAGCAGGGAGTTGTAGCAAGTCTCCCTGGAATCAGTTGAATCAGCCTGTTGGGCACCATCATCTGTGTAAATTTCCGGATAGCCCACACAGACTTTGCATTGTAAGCGTTTGGCCGTTTCTCGAGCCCACTGCGCTGAAGGACCTTGTCCAACGGGCTCTAGGAAGGGTCTTATAGCCTCCAACGAGGGGAAGTTGTATCCTGGCCGAATTAATGACCGTGCTGCTTAAAAAAAATCCGGGGGCGAAGGGAACCACAATCGATGTCGGTAGAGGTAAGAGCTCCAGGCTAAGACGCACTGAACAAGCCACCGAGCACAAACATCCCGAAGCTCATGCGTCGTGTGACATCCGTGGGGAGGACAGAGTAACACTTACCCGTCAAGGCCAACTCGGGCAAAATCAAAACATCCGGCTTCAGGAGATCAAGTCCAACCCCAATTCCAACGCCCCGCACTACCTTCCCGTCCTTGAGCAGCTCATTGGCTCTCTTGATGTTGCCATCGACATCGCCCAAACGAGGGGCAAACTGCAGCGTTGCTACTTTCATTCCTTGGGGCCGTTGATGATACAAACGCAGAAATGAAGGACGATAGATTTGAGCTGGTCCACAGCTGCTTGTAACGCGCAAAGTAATACTGGTATTGCAGATGGCGAGCGGAGGCCGCGTCAAATGCAGGAGACGGAAGCTGCGTTGGAAGGGTCCGACATGGATGGGTGCGAACACTTTGACTGCGAGGTACAAACGAGCGATGCACAGAACTTCACACCCGTCTTGGCTTGGAAAGAGACGGGGTGATTAGAAATAAATGCTTCTACTTGGTTCCCTTGCTGTGGCCGAAGGGAGCCTGCAGTAGCGAAGTATAGACAATTGATTAAAAGTTCTTGATGGAAGTGAGTGAAGCGAGAGACTTGACTGGACTGGAGAGGGGAGCTCCAGTGAAGATGTTTCCAGGTTCTGATTGGCGGAGAAGCAATGAGTTCACGTGATAGTCCCGTGGCCAGAACCCCAAAAAGACTGCCGGGCGACGTCATGGCACGGGGGAAGGCAGGCGATCAAGCTTCATTTTAATTCCATCCCAGGCCAATATTTAATCTAATTCAGACTCGGACTGCCTTTGTCCTTGGCCATGAGGGTGTCCTTCATCGCTCGCCCTGTCCTTGGCCGTCTTAAGAGAAAAAGAAACATTGGACCGTGCTGTGAGGGGACCTGCCAATCATTCCATCTGATCCAAGGGTCGGCGGTACCTGATTTGCTGCACAACCATTTTCTGGGTGGACGGATGAATGAATAGTAGTATGGATGGATGCAATACTACTCGGTAGTTACTCCGTACTAGGGAAATATTTTTAACTTTGGAAAATCGAGGTAGTTCTGGTCCGGGTTCCCGCGTTGGGTTGGAGCCTTACTTGGGCTATTGACTCGTTTATTGTTTCGAGTCGGGATCCGGTGGATAAAGGATGGGCCTCTGGGCGAACTCATTCCGCTACAATAATAAGAGCCATGGCCATCCTCTTTTTTTCGGCCTAGCAGTTGAATCAATTTTTGAAACCGTCAACTATACTACTCACTCGTTTCAATCCCACTGCATTCATTCTTTTGTGGGTGGAGTCACCTCATCATCGAGATCATCATCCTCCCTAGTAGTGAGAGAGCAAGTTGTGTATATAGGGAGTAGATACTAACTACTACCGACTATTTACTGACTGGGTACTTTCCTTTACTCCATTCCCATTCATTCATTATACCCCCGTTGGTTCCACCAGACAGTCGGAGAGGGCCATTCGAGGTCCTTTTCCTTTTTAACTTAACATCATCTTGACCAGCATCATTTCCATCCTTCCATCGTTGAATGTCGTGCTCAGATCATCTTCTGTCCCTTGCCGCGCCCCTTTTCGATCCTCACCCGCCAATCAAAGCCGCCCGCTGCGATCGATTCTTATCCTTGGGCCATCGACATCATTTCCTAATCCTCCCACCACAACGTCTCTCCTCTCCTCGTCCACCACGGCCTCTCCGCCATCTAAGCGCGCCTCGCGGCCCCCTCGGTCGTTTTCCTCTTCGAAAACGTCTCCTTTCGCCTCACAAACGGACCCTTCAACATCATCGCCCCCGGTTAAAGAAGCATCCCCTTATCCCCCGCGAGGCCTCCGCGTTCGGTGCCATTCCTTCGAGGCACATCCCCCCACATCCTCCGATCAGTTCACCGCAGCGAGCTCCTCTCAAGCACGATTCTCATATCGACGAAAGAGTTCCTGGATACCTCCCACGATCTTGCGCCCGCCGTCAGTGCGACTTGCAAATCCTGTTAATTACGTTCCCCGCAACACTCCGGTCACGGTACCCCATCTGTCGCAGCTCTCCGACGAGAACCTCCCACTTGACGCACACCGAGACGCCTACCCTTTGCTGACTATCCCCGAACGGCGTCGCAGTCGACCGATCCCATCCCCGAACAGTCTGGTGGTGGAGCGCAGCCAAGGGGAAACGGAGAGTGGACGCTCCAGCATCGCAGTGCCTCGCGGCCAGAGGCGCAGTGGCGCATTTGACGACCAGCTGGTGTTACGAGAAATGTCCGAGTCGGGAGTATCAAATGGTGCCCCGGAGGTAAAGAACCCTCGCGCTCCGGAACGGGCGCATCTGGGCCTCGATTTCGCGGTAGACGGACCTGGGCCGCTTCACGACGACCGGCCCCGCCACATCCAGTCGCAATCCTCGCTGCGATCACAGTCACACATTGCATCCGTACCATCCATTACCGGCGCTCAGAATGGCGGCGAGGCTGATGTGGCGGAGGAGTTGGCCTGGGGCCCTGCGCATCCGTGTTATCCTCACATCAACCCACATGTTCCGATTGGGTCTGAGGAGTACATGACCACCCGCATCATACGAATCCGGCGTGATTGGATGATCAAGGGAGACCTAGCTCCCACATTCTCCAACCTGTACCCCGAGATTCTGGACCCGCTATTACCCGAACAAGAGTTTCGAAAGGTGATCGCCACAGTGAATGATGAGCTCGTTAAGGCGTTCGATCCGTTCAGCCTTCGCAACTTCATCGACAGTGCGCTGAGCCTTCTGACGGGATGGATTTGGGAAGACATAGGCGCGCCAGGAATCAAGAGCCATCTCAAACGGGTGGAAGCGTGGCTGGAGAGGTGGAACAGAGAGGTCGGGGCCAAGGACGGAGTACATATCTGGAGTCTCCGCAGGACGGCGTACATGTCGCTGGACATCCAGATCCCGGATCCTAAGGTTGGCATCATCCGCAGTGAGGGAGTTCCATCGCTTCCAGGGACCCGGCCGAGCAGCGGCGTTTGATGGAATTCCCGCAAGATTTCTGTCAGATCGCCATCTGCGGTCTTGAGTCCCATTTTACATTCTCTACGACTTCCTTTAATCATCTACGCCTTTTTAATATGTCTCGTTGGGAAGGGGGACTGCATTCGAACTCCGATCTCCGAGATTTTATTCTCTCTCTTTTTTTTTTTTTTTCTTGTGATTTCTTTTGATACTGGACTCGCCGTCATGATATCCATGCCCTAACCTTGATACCCGCCATGTGGGCGTCAGTCCATGTTATCGCAATGTGAACCAGCGCTACGAGGTTTTGCTGAATTCGAAAGTACGGAGTGGCATGTTGCATTCTGTCGCTCCATGCCGACTCGTGGACAGCACATCCGGCCAGCACATGAGACGAGCATAGCACAACCTCTCAACCCTCAGTGTGTTACTGTCTGTATGTATTTAGGTGCCTATATGAGCTGTGTATATATATATATCTAGTATGCTCGACCGTCAAAGACCCGGAAAAAGCTTAGCATCGAGCTGTAGTCGGGAATAAAGCGAGCATACATAATACCTATTTCAAATTGCCACGGTTGATCTCGAGATCAACGCCCTCCTTAGTCAAGTTTAATTTTGCACATACATGAACGTAGTATTTAGTAGGCGCTTCCGCACACAGTGTACTAAGCGTCCTCTTTTCGTGTTTTCGACATCGCTCCCCCGACTCTACATCAGTTGCCTATACTCTTTAGACGCATCAAACCATATATACCGGTTGGTAGCATATACGATAAAAGAACACCATCTCCTCAACATACTACTTGGGCCATGGCACTATCGGGGATTTGTTAATCTTCCAAAAAGAGATTATATGCCCTACTTCGACGCAGCCGTCAGAAGAAGCCGAAAGAACCATCCTTACTGTGTTTTGTCAAGTTATATACCTCTTACTGTTTCACCTCACTTGCACTCGAAAACAAAAATACTAACCACAAGTTGAATGACGAGTTCCTCTTAATACGCAAATACAACGATTCCATGGACGAGAGTCATACTATCTAGACTTGAGCTGTCGATGCTCGTCCATGACAGCTCGAGCAACCATTGCGTACGTGAGTGTTGTGTCGCCATGACTTATATTTACGCATTAGCAACATCGAATTATCGATCGCCAAGTTTTCACCAAATACACAGAAAAATTGGATAAAGTAAACTGTATACTGGCTGGCCACTCGAAGTGCGCATCGAAAAGAGAGCTGTAGTAATGCGAGTAGTAGTAGTGTCGGCGGGCAAACCGCATCCATCGCCTCCGCCGGTCGAGACCGACTTCACCTTCTCTCTCCGCGGCCCCCTCATTCCTCACCGTTCCCCCCTTTCCTTTCTTCTTCTACTTACTTCTCCTTCCACCCCCCTCCCGCCCCTCATCCTCCGCAGCGCCCCTTCACCATGCTCTCCGGTATCCTCATTTTCAACCAAAAGGGCGAGAACCTGATTTTCCGCGCTTTCCGCAGCGACTGCCGCCCGCGCCTCGCCGATATCTTCCGCATTCAAGTCATCTCCAACCCTCAAGTCCGCTCGCCCATCCTAACCCTGGGCTCCACGACCTTCAGTCATGTTAAACACGAAAACATCTACCTGGTCGCCGTGACCAAGAGCAATGCCAATGCCGCGCTGGTCTTCGAGTTTCTATATCGATTGGTCATGCTGGGAAAGAGCTATTTTGGGAAGCTCGATGAGGAGGCCGTGAAGAACAACTTTGTCCTGATCTACGAATTGCTCGACGGTGCGCCTCGCCTGTACTTTCAAGAATACTACCAAATCGAAAGATTACTAAACCGCAGTTTTCTCCTCCATAGAAATCCTCGATTTCGGATACCCCCAAAACACCGAGACCGACACCCTGAAAATGTACATCACCACCGAAGGCGTAAAATCCGCCATTGCCAACTCTGCGACCGACTCCAGCCGTATCACCATGCAAGCCACTGGCGCTCTCTCCTGGCGCCGTTCCGACGTCAAATATCGCAAGAACGAGGCCTTTGTCGACGTGATCGAAGACGTCAACCTCCTCATGTCTGCCACAGGCACTGTCCTTCGCGCCGATGTCAACGGCCAGATCGTCATGCGAGCTTACCTCTCCGGCACCCCAGAGTGCAAATTCGGCCTTAATGACCGCTTGCTCCTCGATACTGATGCTGCTGGCTCCTCCACCCCGGGCAACCGCGATGGTACCATGAAGGCTACCCGCGCGGCCGCGGGCTCCGTCACCCTCGAAGACTGCCAGTTCCACCAGTGCGTCAAGCTGGGCCGCTTCGATGCCGATCGTATTATTTCCTTTGTGCCTCCCGATGGCGAGTTTGAGCTCATGCGCTACCGCGCTACCGAAAACGTCAACTTGCCCTTCAAGGTTCATCCGATCGTGCGTGAAGTCGGCACCACCAAGGTGGAATACAGCGTTGCTATCAAAGCAAACTACAGCTCGAAACTCTTCGCGACGAACGTTGTGATTCGCATTCCAACACCGCTGAACACGGCCAAGACGACCGAACGGACCAGCCAGGGTCGGGCCAAGTACGAGCCGGAACATAATAACATTGTGTGGAAGATCGCGCGGTTTTCCGGTGGAAGCGAATACGTCCTGACAGCAGAAGCGACGTTGACGAGCATGACGCACCAGAAGGCTTGGAGTCGGCCACCGCTCAGTCTGTCGTTCAGTCTTCTCATGTTCACCAGCAGTGGATTACTGGTGCGGTACCTGAAGGTATTCGAGAAGAGCAACTACAGCAGTGTGAAGTGGGTGCGGTACATGACTCGCGCGGGCAGTTATGAAATTCGGTATGTTTGATGTGAACCCCTTGCGCAGATAAATGTGGGGTGGTGATTAGTGTGCTAACTCCAAGCGAAACAGATTCTAGTATGATATATTAGTGCAGACAGGGTGGCCGACGGTCCTATCCCCCATATCTATATCACAATAGCTTCCATTCTAATTTCCCGACCTTTGAGCTTGGTGTCTGGCGTTGACTGATCGATTGCATGTTTTCATGTTGGGTGTGTATTGCTGTACTCATACTTCCTAGGTTCTGTTCTCTTGTTTGCACATAGGGGCTGATTGATGCATGGCATAATGGCATTACTGGGTTTGGTCATGGACATACTTAGATGACATTGGTAGTTCGTTTTTTTATTTGCAACTTAGCCGGAGTATTTACTGCCCTTCTTTATTATTTGTGCCCACTGCTTGCTTATATATCAACTGCTTTGCTTGCTTTATATCTGTCCAAATCCATGCCTCGTCCTGAACTCATACTAGTACTTTATAGTCTTAGTAGTACTCCGTTCCGTATAGGTTATTTTGTTTTCTTTCTTCCCCCCCTTCGCTTGTCTTCATTCATACATCCCCTCATTAGAAAAATAGAGACAGCGTCACATTCGCAAACGACTGAAGCGGCTTTTATTACCTAGTTATCGCTGTTACCTTAGTAATAATAAATGAATGACGAAAAGGCTCGGCTCGACCATCACTTTATCAAAGCCTTTTTCCATTCTACTAAAGCGCGGAAGTGAAGCATGTTCGAAGACATGCATATACTACTTACCCTACCCCTACCTAAATACCATAGAAGGCGAGAGTGTAAAGGTTTCGCACAGATTTTGGAAAACGTGCGATGACGTACGTGCGGAGCAGGAACACATTTGGTTATAGGATGAACCCATCGATAAGTGGTAGTTTGATAGATAGTAGTTTGATAGATTGATAGATAGTACAGTTAGAATAAAGTACATACACAACCAGTGTGTGTCGGTCATAGATAGTCAGTCATATGATACATGAAAAAGAAGAAGAAAAAAAAAAAAAAAAGAAAAAACCCGAAGTATGGTCATCCATATCCCATCTATCCGTTCATCCATTGAATCTGATCAATGTGGATAGATGGATGGGACAAACATAATGTAAGTAACCCCGGAAATGTAGAAACAAAAACACACAGCACCGTGAAATAAAGGTAAGGTAAATGGTAGTAATAACACAATCTGAAATCCCCGAAAGTAACACCTAACGAAAAGAAGAAGAAAAATAAATCCATCCATATCCCGTATCGTACATGAGCCCGTGAGTTGTGAAAGTAGTAAAACAAGAGAGCCAAATAAGTCAAAGTCATAATACAGGTAGCGGAGCGATGCTATCAGGGTATTGGCGGTTTAAAAAGGCGCAAGTTCAGAAGCGAGTAGAGTCGGTATCGTAAGCAATAATGAATGGACGAAAATATTCATCGGTAGACACAGGGAGGAATAAACGGAAAGAGGCCATTTTAGGTCCCCAGCGGGTCTGGTTTAGCTCCTCGTCGCAAGCCTATCTCCCCCTGACCTAGGAGAGTTTGCCATCTGTGTCTGATGGATTCGTGGTTTCTGCCCAGTTCTCTGGCGCAGTCATCCAGGGTTTGTTCGGAGAAGTGATATCTTTCGAGGATCAAGTTCACTAGCCGTCGATCGTCCTCTGCGACCCAGGAAGGCGACGCATCGATTGGCGTCAATTCATGTGACGCGGATTTTATGCTTTCATCGTTTGTCTCGATAGACGGCAGCGGCGCGTCGGGATTGTGTAGTGAGGTTTCCAGAGGGTTTACTTCACTTGTGCTCAGATCTTCTTGCGGTCGATGCGCCGGCGACAGAGGCGACTGTGTGATCGGGGGTGAATAAAGCGAGTAGAAGTCTTCCTGGGTAAGACCTAGTGGTAGATCATTGGGGATTTGTCTGCGACGCTTGGGCGTAGAGAAACGGTCGCGCGATTTGGCATTTTTGGAGGGTTTGCGATCCTCAATTTCCGAGTCGAGGTCTATTTCATAGGCAGATCGGTTGCGCTTGTTCGCACGACGCGTAAGTTTGGAGGGAGAGCAGGGTGATGGGGAGGAGCGCGTGAGGTTGTTCAAGTCTTTCTGGGCCACTCGCTTTTGCGACCGGGAGGGAGGAGGGGATCGTAGCTGGAGGGGACTGAGGAGACGCGGAGGAGTCTTGCGACGGGGGATCGAAGCAGGAGAGATATTGAGAAGGGATTGGAGGGCGCGACTGGTTCCCAGTAGGCCATTGCCTGATGGGAAGAGATCATCTTCGGTGGGGGGTGGAGTGTTGAATAGTAGGTTGGGCGCGAGATGCGACTGAGTCGACTGTTGTGGCATGTCGCTAGGCAGCGCAGATGGGAGTAACATCTTGCGCGACGGAGATGGGTATTCCCCAGGGATGAGTGACATGAAATGACAAAGGAGTGAAGATGAGTTGGATAGTTGGCGAAGTGGTGTTGGTGGTGAGGTGAGGCAGTCGATGCCGGGAGTGTTTGTGCGCGGATCAAGAGGAACCCGCGAAGAATGTAGGTTTGCGCCGGAAGAGGTTTGGAGGAGAAGAACCAGAGATCGGGGGGCAGAAAGAGCGTGAATGAAATGCTAATAGCAAGCGCTTTGATTTGGAGTAAGTCCGGGGAAATGCGACGAGGGAATGACAGCGAAGAGGACTGGGGGGAGTGGGAGGCGAAGGGAGGATATCAAGCGGCGCAAATCCGAGGAAGATGATGATGGGATGATGTCGGAGAAAGGAAATGGGTGGGAAAATGGGCGAAAAAGGAGAGATCCGATGCCAGCGGACTTTTCTGGCGTTTTTGTTCGGTTCCGCAAACGGGGGAGACCCAGCTTCTGGCCCAATGACCGGCAAACAATGGCTCTTGGAAAGTCTAAATCCGGGCTGCAGAATTCCCAAACACACACTAAACAAAGCCACTCTTGTGTCGATGGACGGTGAAGGAGGAGGGTAGAAGTAAGAAAAAGTTGAATCCGGTGGCAGGTATAGGAATGATTGACCGGCCTTCAGCTGGAATTGAATGTGATATCACAAAATGAATGGATGACATCGAACGTGTACAAAGAATGACCAGTAACACTTTTGGTCGGTCGCCCTCATGCCTGCCTTTTTTCGTTGCCTCCTGGACTCAACTCAGGTTTGTTTCTTTTCTCTTTTCTCTTTTATTCTTTGTTTCTCATGTCTCTGCTTTCTTCCTCCTTCTCATTCCTGCCCTGAGAACAGGGGAAAAGGCCTATTTTTGAAGGTCGAACACTGCCTTCATCCCTCTATATCTCCTCTCTCTTAATGCCCCTCCGGAGGGTGGAGTGAGACAAGGAGTGCAGGAGCCACTTCGGAGGGGATGCGCGCTGCAAGGCGTCTCCTCGCAGGGTCACCCATTGCGGCATTTCCCCATCGCCGTGTCCACTTGATGTCAAATGCATCGACACCAGCTGGAGAGGAGAGGAGAGGAGAGGAGCTATCACCCGTCTGGACTGGGATGGGCCGGACCGGTGTGGGACAGGAGGCTGTTGCATTGCAGCTTGCATTGCGTGTTACGGAGTATACGCCTGGATGAAGTTGATCTATACCTATCTACGAAGCCATGATGCGCCATGCAGCTTGGTATAATTGGGGCAGATAGATAGCTGACGCTGGGCTGATACTGATCGATCATGAATCCTATCCCTCTTACAGCGGATACGTCCATATAGTTTTTGGTTGGGATGGCAACCCTCGATAACCTGGATACTTAGGGAAAAATGATTCAGTCCCTCAGTTACTCCCTATCACCACGAGATGTCTACATATGAAGTGCTTTTTCCCTCCGTAGAATTGATTAAAGCCCTAAGAAGTTCTGCTTCTTCCTCGAAGAAAAAAAAGAAATCAATACATGAACATCTTTTTTGGGGCACCTTCCCAGACAGGTAAAATTTAAACGCCATCGCGTCGCGCGTCGCGTCGCGTGAGTACTAGCGCGTCTGGCAGAAGCGCGTTCACCAATCAACAGTGGCGAGCAACGCAGGTGACCAATCGGCTGGACTCATCGAATGTCTAGATGACTTCAGTTCCAAGTGACCGACTCGGTCATCAGCATCACCGTCATCGCACTCATTGGATTTATCGAATTTCCTCTAGCCGGGGCTTCCGATGAACCGCAACGATTGATGATTCTGGCCGTTGTTGTCTTGAACACAAGACAAGCATCCCTCCAGTAACCAGTCGTGTCTCGCTGGCAAAGCAAGAGATCGCCCATCGTCCACTGTTTCCTCCTATCGCTCCGGCTTATCGGGGGCCCCCTCCTCCTGCCCTCCTTGCTTCTTTCCCGGACACTCACGGATCTTCCCTTTCTCAAGTCCACATTCTTGCTCAGGGCAAGGTTTTGATCTCCTTCACACAGGATCGTGACTCCAGGTGGCTATGCACTGTTATTTTGGCTCGTGTCTCAAAGACCGTGCCTGCGACTACTAGTAGCTCCCCAGCCGCCTCGGGATATTATGCGTCAGATGACTGCACGTTGATGTTGCCCATCGTTTCTTTCTGCCTACCCTCCTTTGTTTGTCCTTGCTTCATCAGTGCAACCTGGAGTAGCACTCGGAAAAATTGCCCACGGTCTGCTGCATCGCATTATCTCGCAGCTGAAGATATCTCCGGACGGGTATATTCTACGACTGCCCCAATGAAATTTGCCACAAACACCCCCATTCAGACTGACATAGCATGGACGACTAACAACAGATACGTTCTTCAACTTGGCATCACCTACACTGGACCCAGAACCAGACGAATCTATCAAAAAGCCCCAGTCTGTCTCTACAAAGCCAGAGCCTGAGACCAAACCAAAGAACCCAGACAAGGGTTGACGATCTCAGTACCACGATTAGCAACCCTCTCAGAAGATCCCCTAGAATAGCACCACAAGCGCAAACCATCAGCACGAGAGAAACTCAGCTCAAACCTATTGCCCTGTTTCTCTAACTCTACCCACCTTTCTGTTCATCCCTACTCTCCCCCAGCCTCTGCACAGCATCCACTATCCACGCAAGGGACACCACACCCTATCGGACAATTTTCCCACCGGTTCCCGGGGGAATCTAATCTACTAACTACCTATGCGAATCACAGCACATGCAGGTGCAGGGCGATTGACACCTGCACGGGTTTCTTGCTCCACCTAGGAGGTTTTTCATCAGCTACCCCTTGATGCACTGTTATTGGTTACGTCCCTCCGCAGCACCAGTAGCCCGAACACACGACGTCAACGTGCGTCTCATAGGAAGTATATCAAGCGTCTACTATAGAACTTTACGGTGAAAGGAGTCTTTAGTATTACTACTTCTAGTAATAACCGACTACATTACTCGGTACAGCCTTAAGACATAGATCGTCGGCCCCACACCCATAGATACACTTTGGGGTACCTTGATCCAACCTATAGACTATACCATTAGTAGTAATCAGAGTATCGACCTAGTCTCACACACCTCACCCTATATAACACCCCTACGCAGTAATCCCATGACCTTACCCAGTGATTCAGGATTCTATAACAAAGGCAACCTTATATATACAGTCCAGATCCATCCCAGATCTGTAATACTTCCAACTCAGCCTCGATCCTACCTGTTTACTCATAGCTTTCACCCGAACCAGACAGTACTAAATATATTACCACACAACATACTTATATTACACGAAGATTTACGTATCCCCAATACCTAAGAAATACCTGTCCTCCCTCCTACCCTCTCCCTTCAAGCCTTCAGACCAGACAAAGGGACATCCCATCCCATCCCAACATCCCACCAACCAACCCCTTGATAAAATCTTCCTACTATCATCAGCAATGGATAGACCTCCCAAAAAGAAAACAGCCCCTGTTCTACCCATTTGAATTCAAGGACCCCGTGGTCTAGTAAGTCAAAGTTAGGATTGAGGTACTATATTGGTAGTAGTAGTGTAGTTGATTAACGGGAAGGGTGAGAGGGTTTCTGGTAATTACACGACCATTGGGGCTTATTAATCTGTTATACAAGGAGTTGAGACATGGCTGGGTAGGAGAGATGGTGCCTTTTTGCGGGCGTTCGGGATGCGCCCTTGTTGGTTGTCTGGTCTGGTTGCTCAGTATTGCGATACGTGTCTGTTCGATTACTTTTTACTCTTTCTTCGAGGTCTTTCGTACTGCAAAACTCAGTGTTTTGCCATTTCAAAGATATTAGGAATCTATCTATGCTATAGCTAGCGTGTTAAGATTAGCCTATCTTTCTGGCATATCCCCCTTCCATGTCTCGCGAATTCACCGTTCACTGTTTAACCCTCAGACTGTGAGTGGAGGTAAGTTAAGATCCGACAAAGTAGGGGAAGCAATCTCGTGACCGGAGAGATCTTCGAGTGATGAGCTGGGGCTCCTTGTCTTGTTTGATGTTGGGCCATGTGCTCCGAACACTATACTTGAAAGCGGCTTCTTTTGGATATTTTCAATCCCATCAAGGTCGGAATCATTACTCGCTGCTTCCCGAGCAAGCCTTTGGTCATTGAAGCAATTCAAGCTGGTGATGTCCACAATTATCGGCGCTTGGGGAGAGCATGGAGTCCAATCTCTGATTGATCGACAGTAAAGCTCTCGAAATTCGGCCGAATGAATTGGATTGCTGAACCACGCATGTTGCAACCCTTGGTTGGCAGTCATGCGTTCTTCTGCAACAATTCTGAGGAGGCGTTGAATGAAATCCTTTGCTCGAGGATGCGCAAACTGTCTGGTAAGACTCGCTTCCAACTTCTCATACCCACCGATTTTAGCCAAGTCAATCGCATACGTGGCCATTGAGCCATCACACGAAGTACTACCTGTGAGTAAGACTGCTGTTACGCAACCTAGCGACCACATGTCAGCAGCTTTCGTATAACCCTCTTGACTAGGATTTATGACTTCTCTGTTCTGGAGTTAGCGCCGTACAACTGCAACGATCAGAGCACTAACGGAGCACTATATTCGAATGTGCCAACCATTGTCGACATTCGTCCAGGGTTCCGGGTGGCGCACCCAAAGTCAGAAAGCACAACCCTGCATCCGTCCTCCAAGGATGTCATGAGTATATTGTCTGGTTTCAGGTCCCGATGAACAATATCCTGACCATGCAAGTAATCCAAAGCCATCAGCAGCTGCCTGATTATGACTGCAGCCTCCATGTTGGTCAGCATTCCCCCTTTGTACTGGATATAAGAGAACAGATCTCCACCAGGTACCAGCTCCTGAAAGAGATAGCTACGTTTCTTTAGCTATGACCCATTTGCAAGTCCGTGGACACACTTACATATGGAAATTAGTTTGTATCACTTTTTCGAGGCTGATAATGTTGGGCTACTGTGGTGTCAGGGCAATGGCGAACAACGAGATTCAATGCGCCAACTTACATGGCATAGATCTTTCAGTATTAGGGCCTCGCGGCCGAAAACTTCCAATCTTTTCTTAAGCTTTGCTTCACGGTCAGGCTTTCGTAGCTTCTTCCCGTACTTCACACTGAAGAGTTTGGCTTTTCGCAAGACAGTTGTATCGCCATTGTCGTCATCATTATCACCTGTCCATGATCCCCTAAATATCTTTTCCCTCAGAGGTCGAAGGTTTATAACCTTGCAAGCAAGCTGCTGACCACTAATCGAGTTGTAGGCCATGTACACCTGTCCGTAAGCACCAGAACCCAGTTTACGTGGTGTGACGCAGTACATGTTGTCGAAAATCCGCGAAAATCAGCAAGAATTTCAATCTCAATATAGAATAGAATAGCATTGCTTACTTTAATCTCTTTTGTCATGATGACACCTAGGCGTTCTTGCATATGCATCGGATAACTGAACTTGAGAAATATACTCCTCGGCAGCTGGAGTATATCGCCATCACTGAGGAGAAACCCACCCTTGCCTGCCATGGGGTAGATATTCCACAAGGCCCCATTTACCGAGATATTCTCAGCGTAAACCAATGGCAAGATGGCTCCAGGGTTCTCATGGTCGAACAGGACGGTGTAGATGCGGAGGTGTTGACGAGAAATAAACGTAGCATCCACGACGAGATGGCTTTATTTCGGTTAACCTCCACATGCGAGATGGGAAAAGAAGTGTACCATCTATCCGAGTCTCTACCGACATATACCGTCTGATGGCTCCGGATGATCAGCTGCTCACCTGCTTGGCCGGTCTCTGGATACCATCTAGATAGTACCCCTACCGCATCGGGAGCCTGAGACCAGGACATGGTGGGCGCTGGGGTGATCGAGAAATTGTAGGAATAACGATAATTTAGGATGCTTGCTAGGTGGGATATAGATAAAAATCAATTGAAAGAATTGATGAGTCAAGGAATAGGATAATTAAAAGTTAGTATAGAGTTGTTCACGCTGGAACTTCCAGCGCCAGCAGGTCACGGGTCAGGGGTCAGGTTCCTGCCTTCCTATCTGGTAAGCTCTAAGGCAGCAACAATCATACACTGCTTTATCACTGCTATCTAGTACACTACTGATGATTTAGGCTCGCCGTTGAACTGCTAGTTGCCAGCATCTATAGGTTCAGAAAGCAAGATCCGAGGTATAGCCAGCCGGAGCACAACCGAAAATGGACTGCTGGCTGCCGTGGCCTTTCATTTCTATCCATCAAAAGACATCAATACGCTCCGTACAATGCAATGCTACAGGCCATGACTTCATCATACATCTGGGGGAAAGCAAAGAGTGGAAGAGTTGAGTGGTTTACCCCATCATTGCCCTTGCATTCTTCGCATGCGTTCTTCAGCTGCTCTAGCGCGGCGCTCTCGTTCCAACCGCATTCTCATTTCCGGCGTCATACCTCGCATCTCCTCTTCTCTCTTCTCAGAAGCCGTCTTCTCAACAGAGCCCAGCGTTCGACCAGCTGGTTTCTTGGAGGCGCGATGTGCCGCACTAGCCGCTTCCTCCTTTTTCAAACGATCCATTTCAGCCTTGCGTCGACTAGTCTCTTCTTCTTCTGCAGTCTTTCGCTCCCTTTCAGAGCGGTTGTTGGCCTCGTCTCGAGAGATCGGTGACGGCACTTTGGTAGCCTCCCAATTCCACTTTGACTCGCCTAGCTCATGACGCGCAACGCGGAAGGCGTCCCGCGTCGCACGATCCCCAGCAAGCTCGAATGGCGTTCTTCCTTCGCCATTTGTTGCGGTTGGATCTGCTGTAGTTTTGGTCAAAAGGGCAAGGACCATGGATGGTGAGTTCAGGTTGGCAGCGAAGTGGAGGGGGGTAGGACAGCGGAAGTTCTGCTGAGAGTCGGAAGGTCGAAAGATGAAGGATGTAGGGATCGAGTTCTTGGATAGATAGGTCATCAAGGCTGGGATTTTAGAACGACGGATAAGAGCCTGTATTTGGGTTGTGTGAAGCATAGCCTCTTCATCTTCTTTGGAAACCTTGGGCTTCTGCTGTTGAGGCCGTGGAGTTGATGGCTTCGACACTTCGTCCCGTTGCTTGGCCTCTGCAGCCGCCAATGCGGCTTCGTCGACTTGGCTTACTTTCACACGGGTGAGCTCCTTGAAGCAACGCATCAGCTCGCTTTGGGTTGCTCGACGGGTGCTGAACGGGAAGCCTCTCAATCTCGGGTCGTTTTGCCTGAGAACCTGGCCCTCGTACTGGCTGAAAAGGATTCGACGATTCGTACTGCCCGTGGCACGAACAAACAATAATTCGGCCCCGTCAATCATCTGTTTCCAATCGGCCAATAAATCTCTGATCTCCTTCTCTAATGCAGCTTCGTTGTATCTTCTGAGACTGGAACCTGCCGAATGTGCGGCTCCCTTGGCAGCATCATTAGCAGATTGTGAGCCACCTTGCTTTCGTCTGGTCGTGTAACGATGGAACGTCTTGTGCGCAATGACTCGAGCTTGTCTATCCTCAATACCACCCTGCCTCCGGTGGATCTCGGGAGCCAGCGAGACCAGCATAGCAGCGAAGTGACCGCCCCCAATCATGCACATGAAAACATGAGGGCTGGGTGATGACGGCGCCTCTGGAGCATTTCCGTTGGCTCTCGGTTGCATGATAGGCGGGAGTTGCTTTCTTTTTATGGTTTCAACGAGGTGTTTGGGCTCATCCTGTTCAGCATTTGAGAACAAGGCCCGGTAGACACCTAAGGACATGTTGGAAGGCAGTCGTGTGCTAGAGAGCCAAAAAAGAGGTGGCCTGCCGGAAGTTATCTTCTTCGATGGTGCTTCATCCTCATCGGTCACCTGGGAGAGTTTGGCCTGTTTCTTCAGCAATGCTGAAAGTTGATCATTCTCTTCCTCATCCTCTGCTTCTGACGACTCGGACCCAGATATAGACTCGTCGAGTTCCCCTATAGCCTTTGCGAATTGAGACTCGTCCAACGTCGGACCACCCCTAAGCTGCGCCTT